GAGCAAACACCACCTTACAAAGTAGCCTATATTACTCGCCAGTTCTAAAATGTGTGCTTGTAGAATTTCACCCTTTTCGACTGGGAAACAAAATGTTTTTGGGCTTTCCGTACGCGCTTCCATACGTGCAAACATACATAGCGTAGTGTTCACTACTATTTCGTATCTAGACGGATCGCCGTTGTTTTCTTTGAGGATGTGTGCTTCTTTCTTGTTATGCTGAGCTTACACCAAGGTGATAAAACTTCTTTATTCGGCCAACGTTCAGGCGTTATCGCCTTCGTCGGAGTCTAGAGAGTCGAACACATTAGTGAACCGTCCATTCAGATGCCAACGTCACCACTCAAGATAATGTTTAATTGGAAAATACGAACCAAGAACTAATCAGAGTCATACATAGTCCACAATCACCTTAGAGCAGCACGAGTTGGGGTATAGAAGACCATCCATTATGCATTGCTATACCACTCCCTCCTTTTATAGTGTAAGCTCAGCATAACAAGAAAGAGTTACTATCATCATGCCAAGATTAATTACTCGGACTTGGAAGACGTTACGAGGTGTGTGCTCAACCTGCAGTAGGGACAAGGTCGTAAAGTTGTTTTGTTTAATTGACTTCTGTCCCAAGGAGAGTTCAATTTTGGGCGGAGTGGAGTGCAGTAACAACATGTCACAATTATTACTGCACTATAAGTCTATTCAGGATGATTGCCCGTCTCTTCAAAATACTATGCAGATCGCTTCGAAATGGAATGAAAGGCCGACAGCCATTGCTTCAAAAATCAGGAAAATAACCACGCAAAAGGATGCCATGAACTTTTGTGTTTAACCCTACTAATAACTTGTAAGCTTGGGTTCTACCAGTGATCCAAGAAATTATTGATAAAACCATCATAACGGATTATCTTCTCAACTCCCTGCCTGTGATTTCCTAACTGGCGAAGGAACAGTGCCGAAATGTGGACCATCAATAACGAAGAGTTAACATCTTGCTGTACGCTCAACAAGTAAAAGAGAACCGCCATAACTTCCCCGTCTAATTTACAGAATATAGCAGGCAATTTTCCACAAAATTTCTCTAAAGAGATCCAAAAGAAACGCAAGAGG